ATTGCTCACACTTCCTTCAGAAATGCTATCTATTGCTCATTAATTCACCAAGTAACCAACTTACAGCAGAAACACCCGGCCTGCTAAAAGGGAATGACTAAATACTGAGACTTCAAACAGAATGGCTAATCTAAAACCCATGAATCACAGCCATGTGATGCTTCTAAAGACATCAGCAATTTCAGATTACTCAGAGGTGTACACCACTGCCACACAATTCAGATATAGTGTTGCAATTCAAAAACTCACTGATCAAACATGTCATTCAAGTCCCCCTTTTTTTTCCAAACACAGTTTCTGGGGAGGGACTTTGCAAGAAGTGAATTTGTTTCATGTCATCTCTGTAGTTCCAACAGACGAAATTCCAGCTAGAAAAGACACTTCTCCTATCAGCACCACCACAGGATCCAATTCAGCCTTTATTCAAGAACCTATGGTCAGACGAATGTTTACAGTTCAGGTATTCTGTACAACTATCTTGACCCAATTCTCTTCCCTCACATATCAGCAAGTATTCATGGAAATTCATTAACTTGCACTGATAAAAATTGGCAAGAGAGAATCAGATTCAGTCCAGCTGAGAAATGTTCTTCTATATCTGGATCTTGTGGGACCTGCTAGAATCCTTTCAGTGTATATTGTACCTTTAAATAGTGGTTTTTTTTCTAAAATTAAATCTGCTCAGTATTTAAACAAACAACTCTCCATACTCCTTTCCAACCATTTGAGACTGTTGGCCAGTGACTTAAGTAGGCCCAATGATGACCCCATGGAGTATTTCTAATTGTATTTGGTCACCAAATACATGCAGCCAGATGTTACTTTTCTCATCATTTTCTTTTGTCTGTACACTCAAACACCAAATAATTCATCAGAAGACAAAACGGTTACAATTCCATTTCAGCTAAAGAAGATGTAATCATGCCAGCCGCTGAAAAAACAAATGGGAGGAAAGGAGGGGATGGCGAAAGAGGGCAAAATCCTTTTTTCTAACACAGATTAGGCACTCAGTTTTAAAAAATCCCAAATGCATCTTTACCCTTTGGGTTCACTGGATTATAATGAAMACTTGACACTGAAAGCTATCATCTACAATTACAAAACACTTGTCATAGCTCAAAAAGATAACATATGTRCTACGTACATATAGATAGATCCTAGAGGGCATGTTACCCTAGTTGCATATTTTCTACAAACATAACAGTTTTCTGCTCTATATCTTCAGCGATATTTTTGTACATTTTTACATACAAAGATGCCAGGATAAAATATGAAACATCATGCCCTGAACAGTATAACTGTGTCAACAGTATTTAAGATGTCTACCATTTTATCTATTTTTGTTATTATTATTTTAACCAGCTATCTCTGTACAGTATCTSCAGGGTAAGCACATGAACATACATAGGTAGTTTAATTATGCTACAAACTAGCAGTTGGAGAAGTATCCTTCTGTAAGCAAAGATTAAAGCCATTGTAAGAGCAATCTACTATACAAGTTCTGAGCTTTTATTAGGTTAAAATCTCCTTTGCTCTAGGAGAGCATCTGGCAACTTTATACCGTAAAAACACTGTTTAAAAAAATGCATTCAGTAGTACGCCAAAAATTAAAATCTAGTTATTCCTGTCTCTCTAGGGTAATACAATACAATCAAGTGTGCACCACTTTTAAACTAATTAAATCTCGCTGCATATATATAATGTGTCAGGATGTAACTGCAATATAGAAGCATATAAAGACAGGGTTTTTTTTTTCTGTCATAGTTCATGCACTGATGGAGTTTCCAGCAAAATAACTCATCTATTAATTTTAACTGTTAAATGACATACTGTCCACAGGTGCTGTGCACATATATTATTTACTAAATGAAGGCACTCCTTTCCAGAATACTCATTTCCTGGCAACTGGAAAGATGGACAAAAAAATGCTAAGATTTCCATCCAACAGCTCAAGGGCAAAAAGAAGGCAATACAAAAGTAGAAAATTGYAGAGGGGGAATCACATTGCTTTTAAGTGCTGAACAAAAAGGTGTTAGATAACACTTCAAATAATGATACAGAGGGATTCCAAAAGAAAGGAATGAAGCAGGTTCTTACTCACACTTCAGGGGCAAGAACCTTCCTAGTGAGTTTAAGATGATGTGTCAAGGTGGGTTTCAAGGGCATCTTAATCAGACTCAATTATGTTAAAGAGATGGGGCAAGATAAAGACAAAAGTCAGCAACACTTTCGTAAGGCCTAGTTGGAGCCACATAAAATTGATGGATGCAGGTTCTATAGGATAACAAACCATTCCCAAAGCAAAAACGCAGGAATAAGAGCCTCAAATCCTCCCGAAGGATTTTATACTGACCATTATATTCATAAATGTCTTATGGGTATTTAGTCTTACAGAAGACCATTCCATAAATTCTTTTAAACACAACTTAATTTGTGTTTAATTTTAAACACAAGTCTTTTAAAGTGGAGTTTTAAACATCCACTACTGAAAATCTCTCTTTATCTTTCAAAAWAAGCAATTTTATGCAGATTTAGATGGCTTCTAGAAACAAGTATACATTTTGTCATCCTCCATAAGCACTATGTTATACATCAAAAGATTGTTAGAAAAATCAGAATTGGAAGTAAGAGAATCAGAATTGGAAACTGTAACGTAGGTTTATAGGTTGACATCAGTACATGTCTCATTCAGAACATTTGCAGCAGATGCGTAGGGCAGTATACATTTGCTGTGTGTCCTTTATTTCACTTCCTCCCTAAAATAACTGCAAATTTCATAGAGCATTTAGGAATCTAGGGGAATTCCAAACAGTCCAAACTGACTTTTTTTTTCCTCCTAAGATTCAGAAGTCATCACACAAACAGATTAATCAAAAATTATGATAAAGTTGTGACAAAACTCTTAAGCTTTTACAGAGTTAAGCATAGTCCAAATCCTCTAAAAGGAGGTACAACTTATGAAAGTGATAAGGTGGTATCCCTTTACAACTATTATTACATAATTATATAATTAGAGYTCTACAAGTGTAAAATTACAATAAATAATACAACACTTTTTAAAAAGAAGAAATCATATTTGTATTTTAGTGGAAGAGTAACTAGGTAATGGAAGTATGACAYAACACTATCAGTTTGAAAGATGCCTCCCTTATACGTATGGAGAAAAATAAATTACCTTTCCAAGTATAAATTCTTCACCTAATTATTTTTTTTATATACATACACACACACACACACACACATATATCTATGCATTTAAACCATCATAATAATAAATGTCTGGTATTTTATTTGAACAAATCCAAAAAGGGTCATAGCATATCTGCAGCTGCACTTTAAACCAGATAATTTTAATAACAGCAAAGAACAGGTTTACACTTTGAGTATTGCAATCTTGGCAAGCTCAGGTGCAAGAACTATAGATCCTTTACAATTATGTTCTCAGCATGACGTACAGTTCATAATCTAAGGCAGTTTTAATGCCCCTTCACTGTATGAGCACCAGGGGTTTGGAGAATTAAATATGATTCAAAAACTCTTTTTTCTTCCTGCATGGAATGTTACAGCAAATATTAAATAGAGACAAGATGGCATCTCATTTAAAAAAATAATAATAATAAAAAAAGCTCTTTAGTTCCTAGAATATTGTCCAAAGTCAAAGCTTGAAAAATGTTTATGCACAGTAAGTTCACTTAATGCAGATTCCTACTATCAAGGCTTAATACTCATATTGCTCAGACAGCCTCTTCTGCTCAAGTGAGTATTCTGTCTGAAGGAGGTTTTCAAAATGTATTTTAAACACCAGTAGCAAATGAACAGGCTTTCCTGAAAAAAAAAAAAAAAAATCTAAATAAAAATAATTGCTTCCACATAACCCAACATAACTCCAGGCTATTTGAGACTCCAGTCCTGAAATTGAAAAGAAATCAAAAGGAAAGAAGTCTTGCTAATGTTACTGCTTTGCATGGTTTTGAGAGCACAGGCGAGGCAAACACCAAGAAAACAGAGGCCCCCAAATCCCTGATCAGACAGGTAATCCCCCGTTTTCCTTTGAAACACAATATCGTAACTTCTCTGACCCTGTTACAGAGGTGAAGGAGAGAAGGATGCCGCTTTCTTAGGAGCAGAATAATTCAACTACTCCTTTATGGAAGCGAGGGAGCAAAACCAGGCACTTCTCAGAGAAAGCATCATTCCCTAAGACTTCGCAAGGGGTATTCCCCTGAAGTGCAGCAGTCTGAGCTTGCCACAAGGATCCCGGTCACACCTGCTAGGAATTTACCCCAATCAGGAGCCGCTTCCTGTGCCGTGAACCACGCAGGCTAACTCAAAAAGCCCAAGCCGTRCACACAAAACGCCTGAGGCGTCAGGCAGCAGAAATGAGTAAATGAGTAACGCGGGCTTTCCGTGCTCTGCGAGCTCCGCCGACTGCTCCCGCGCGGGGGGACACGGCCGAGGCGCCGCCCGCGGCCCAGGGCGCTGCCAACAGCGCAAACGTTTCTGGCYGCCAGGAGCGTTTTCGCGTACCCCGGGCAGCAAGTGCAGCCCTGCTGAGACAGGGCCTCCGAGGCGCAGGAGCGTTACGCTTTAGCCCCAAACATCCTGCCCAAATTTTAACCGTTCTCCCGCTCTCTCACACACATCTCCCTGCTCTTCCCACCCCAACCGCCACTGTGTGGCCGGTGAGAGCAAACGGACCAGCCTCAGATCCGGAAGCGGGGTGAAGAAAGGAGGAAGGGGAGAAATAAATATTTTCTGGTTATTTTGTGCCCTTTATTCAGGCTTAAATAAAAGCGGCCGCGGGGTTGCTGCTGCTGGCGGCCATGRCGGGGCCGCGCCGCGCCGGCTCCCCTGCCCCGGCCCGGGAGGCGCCTCGGCCGGGGGGCGGTGTCGCCCCTCGCCGCCACCCCTGGCTCCGGCCCCGCCGCTGCCCTCGCCGCCCCTCGGAGCGGCGCCGTGGGAGGGAGGGAAGGAGAGGAGGCGAGGAGAGGGCTACACACCCAGCAGCAGGCCGTCCATGTCGAAGATGAGGTGAGTGACCGGCCGCGGCGCGGCCGGCGAGGAGGAGGAGGAGCGGGAGGCCGCGGCCATGGCGCGGCGGGTGGCGGTGCGCGTGGCGCTGCAGGCGCGAGCGGAGCCCAGCGGAGCGGAGGGCACGGCCGCGCCGGGCCGGGCCGGGCCGCGTCGGGGCGCGCGCGGGGGCGGCGCCGCAGCCGCAACGGAGCGAAGCAGAGCGGGCGGCCGTTACTGACACGAAAACCGTTGGCCGGGCGAAGGGGTAGCACGGAGAAGCGCTACTGCCCTTCTGGCCTACTTATTTATTTTTAAACTCTTTCTGTTTGTTCGTATGCTATATTAGCGASTCCTTCTGAAGTCCTTTATTTTTTCTTTTTCCTCCTTCTCTTTGACGGGTTAAGTGGTTTAGGCACCGTTTTCTGGCAGTGCTTTGTGTGCCCAGAGTTGCTGAGATTTACTAAAGTTGCTGCTGGCCTAGTTGCCTGAAAGCCATAAGGAAAAGGGCTGGAGACTACGTCAGACTTGCTGCGAGGAAGGCATAAAGTAATCCTCCTAGGGGTTACAGAGTGTATGAATGTGTGAATCACCACTCACTTGCCTTTTTTTTTTTTTTTTTTTTTTTTCCCTTCCTCAAAGACTCTTGAAGTTCAAAAACCGAACCCCGGTGTTCCCGAAGTGAAAGAAATCCTGCCTGTGTAGCCCCTCCGCATGGTTTTGTCTCTGCAGTCACAAGGGGCTGAGGTAGACATCTTCATCAGTCCTTCTTTTTTCTGCTTGTCTCTTTTCRTGCAGGTAACTCACCTTTGGGCATCAAGGCCATCTGTTACAGCCCGAAACATCAGTTGCAGTAGCAGACATGAAAACAGCTCTATCAGACTCCCAAGGTGACATGGTGACTTGAAGATTTATACCGCTGTGCAGTTCTGTCCAAAACCAATGGTTAGTTGTGACTTCACAGAACTGAAGTCCTTTCTCTTTTATCTGTAGTTAGGTGTCTTCAGCAATTCACATCACACAGTGCCATTTCCAACATTTTTTTTCCTTTTTTTTTCCCCCTTTTTTTTTCTCTTTTTTTTTTTCTTTTTTTCTTTTAAGGCCTAGCTGTGGGTGTTGCACAGTTTTTTTGAGAATTTTCATTTAACCTCCTTATATATTGCTCTCTTCTTCAGTCCCTACGCTCCTTCCCAAATAAAAACTTAAAAGTATGTTTCTGAGAAATTTTTTTGGAGGGAAATCCTTGTACCATCTTCAATCTTGTAAGTAAGAAAACATAAAACATCCATGGCTTTATTCTTTTGATAATATTTTTAATAATAAAACTTTTCTTTCAACCAAAGTTTTTTTCAATTTGGGGTTTGTTTGATTTTTATTTTGACTTTCTATTTTATTTTACTTTATCACTCTGTAATAATGCTGCTTAGGCCCTACCTGTCTAGGTTGGGGGCAGGGGAGAAGGCTATGCATATTGCCTTACGTGTCTTGTAAAATGTCGTGGATAATTGTTTTAATAGACTATATATAGAGTTAAGAAAATTTGTATTTCCAGATATTTCCCTTTGTCTRAAGTTATAATATAAATGTTAAGAATGCCCATGACAATTTTGTCATATAAATACTGCGTAATTAATGTTCAAGCTTTGTTTCAGATAGAACATATATTAGTTTCTCTAGTAATTGAGTTAACTTGAAGCAGAACTGGCATCAAAAAAAAAATAGTCCCCAATTCAGTGTATCTAAAAAACACACAAATCTTTTATGAGGGAAAAAAAAATCATTATCATCATATAGTAGCATTTGGAATAAATTTCTACTGTAAGAGTCGAAGTTGCTATGGCAAAGGTTTCTTGGAGTTTAGGTTGTAGAGCAGCAGTACATGAAGGGAATGCTGCTAAAACTATTTTTTTTTTTTTTAAGAGCTTATTTAGAAATTGATTGAATGTATCTGTTGGTACGGTAACATCTGTACTTGTCAACAAGAAAATGCATCAGTCAGATATCTGGAGTCACTGTTCTAGCTGGAGAAAAATATAAAATTCCTTCTTTCCCTTTCCCTCACACAAAGAAGAGAGGTGGCATTGCACCATTTTTATAATATGATCAACTAAAGCATATATATAAAAAGCATCAAGCTTGTGCAAAGCTGTGGAGTCTTTAAAAGGCAAATAAATCCTAAAAATAGCCTTTTGTATAAAAAAAAAATGCAAAACAGAACTGTCCTACACGTGAAGTGAACCCTTTTAAGCGTTAAGTGGTCTGTGTTACAAATTATAGTGTCAGCATATGAACGCAGTCAGCTTTGCTGACATGCTGATGACCTCAGTTTGCCTTGCTTTAGTCTGGCTCATGGATTGTAATCAGCGTGATGTTACATTTGTTAATTCTTCAAAGCTACGTTCAAACACAAAAAAAATATTTTCAGTATAGACAAACTGTTTACGTTTATTCAGGTATTATTATATACGCAAATAAGCAGCGCTGCTCATCTAAGTTTCATTGGAGTTTGCCTAAATATTAGTCTCAAACATCTGAGCAGTACTATTTTTTTTTCTTTTTTTCTTTTTTTCTTTTTTTTAAGCAAGGAACAAGTTGAGGTATGGGAATGGTGTAGTTGCCTTTTATATTTGCTACTTTGTTTATTTTAAAACTTTTTTTTTCAGGCGATGAGCCTATTTTGGTAACTTCTGAGTTAATGGAAAACACAGTGTGGTGGAGGTACAGTAACCAGTAAAACCAATAGTAAGTTGTGCCTGTTAACCTGCTTATTAAGGAGGGCTACTTGAGTTACTGAAGTGCACTGCACCTTTGAATTCTGCAAAGTCTGCATCATCCTGCAAAGATGCAATTCACTTCAGATTTGTTTTTTAAATGAATCCAACTTTCTCTTTGAGAACATATCCAAGCAGGTGAAAAACCTTTCCCACATTGTATGCTGCAAAGTGGTATGTGTGCATGCTAGATGTTTGGTTCTTTTTAATGATTAAACTTTTAACTGTTCATACCCAAATATATATTATATTTGTCTTTCACATAGTATGTTAACATTATTTCTGTTGGTCTTGCATGTCATGTCAGCTGAAAATATTCAGGTTAATGAAATTAGATTTGCAACATACTTTAGCGCTTCAATCTAAGTAACTTTTTTAAAAAATGTCATTTTCMTTTTCTTGAAGCTTAAATCTCTTACACATCACTGAAATTTAAGCTAGTAAGTTTTTTGTTTGTTTGCTTGTTTGTTTTTTATGGAGAGTAAAAGTTTCAAAATATGTGCAGGTGTTTTGCTAAGTAATATACCTGACCCCAAAATTTCAGTTTGATATTTCAGCACTTCACATTGTTCTTGGAACATAGCTTCACTTAGAATATTCTTTATAGCATTGGTAGAACTGTGTTTTTCATATTGAAATGACTGATTTTATTTTTCTTGTTCTGCAGGCACCTTGGCAAAGAGGATAAACAGATTTGTAGACTATTTTGGTTTGAATATTAAAAAAAAGCTAAGGGCTTCAATAAATCGAGCAATTCAGGCGCTTTCACAATGATTTACATGAACAGCTTCTAAACCCACTATTAGTACCAAAATTCTTGGGAGTGATTTGTAGTTAAATGCAATTTAGTTCAGATATAATCTGTGATTCACAACAATTGCTATAGTTGAGCCTGATAAGCCTTTAGAAAATGAAGCATTTGCCAGTGCTAGATGTCTTCAAACGAGAGCTTTTCACCTTAGGAATGTGAATTAAGTGAAATGTATTGTTTCAGTTCATGTTGTGACTGTTGGRAAAGGGAAATGAGCATATTATAGATTAAGACTATGAAATAACTTCATGCCTCTGCTAATCTACATCATGATCTGTTAATTACGTAGTAAGGAAAAGAGGAGTGTATCTCCCCAYTGTCATGAATAATGGGAGTCGTCTATGTAGTCAAGTATGCAGGCCATGTATTTGCTGGATCTTGCATTCAAGACACCTTTTTTCTGGGTCTTGGTACTTGCCCCCAGGTACAAGTGACTTAGTTACAAAGGAAAGAAACGTGATGTATGCTGCAAAATACACTCAAAATATAAACTTTGGCCATCAGTAAATTTAGCTGGGACTCTATACTGAAGTTCTTAAAACAGTGATGAGGGGTGAATTTCAAGTGGAGCCAAGAAAGCACACAAGAGAGAACAAGATATTGAGATGCTTTTAGGTGGAAATTGGTAAATTTATCAAAGGCATTGTACAACAGAATGAACAGTTTCTGAATTTTGGAAATTGAGGCTTAATTGAGACCCTGCTTTGGGGTCATTTTTTATTGCCATTAAAGTCCACAAAAATATTTTCCTCTCTATTGTATGTCTTTTTGCATTATTTCTGGCCTTCCAGTGCCATTGGCTGCACCCAGGCTGTGGGAAGGAATGCGTAGATGATTATCAGTAATACTGCCATTGAAATCCTGAAGAGTTTAAGGGGTGCGTCCTGTTTAGTTGTAAACTCTCAGAAGGATTAGGGCTGAAGGGGACACATCCATGGTAAGATTTGAAGTCTTGTCTCTTGTTTCTCTTCTATGATTTGGACTTGTGTAAAGCTAATTTGCAGAGTTTTGTCGTTATCATTTGTTTTAAGCTGAATTTCCATTGTTGCAGGAGCCTGAAATACTGGTTATGCTTTCACTTTTCTTTCTGATCTGTGTGTGAATGTAGCTTTTTTGCTGCTGGTCTTTCCTGTAGCTTGAGTGTTACAGATCATAGGAAGCATTTGTATTTATAGTGTCACAGGGAAAGCATGCACTGTCGACCTTTCTGAACAAGACATCTATCATGTCCTGGCCTGCAGAAGGGGTGGAGCTGAAAGCAGTGACCCTCACTGGTCCCTTTCAGTCTTGTGCACCTAAGCTCTACTCCTTCAGAGGTTGCAGTAATTATATCTGCAGTCCGAGAAGAGAAAGGCACGTGATTCTCTGGGGCAGAAGCCACTGAATCAGTGATGTGTGCTGCATGTTCAGCATGCCACAAGCTGGAGAGTTGAATATACAGATTTCAGTGTTTGTATTCAGCACACTTTGTGAACATGATACTAAGATATCTACCATGACTAGTGTAGTGCAGATAACTGAGATAGCTGACACTCAGCTATCTATCTACATGACAAGGGATAATGTGCAGTCTCGAGGGAATTGCCTCTCTGGCCTTCCACTTACTTCTCCTAAGCCCTTTCATGAAGGCAACTGTCACCAATTCACCAGCCCCTCCTGTTTTTTGTGCATCACATCCTGTAGCCTCACACCAGCTGCCTTAAACCCCTCCCATGCACAGGCAGTGCTAGGCAGAGAAGAGCCTGGGAAGACGCTCCCATGTGTGGCTATTCCTCTTCAGCCTGAAGAGTCCCTTCTCGCTCAGCCTCTCCTAGGAGAGAGGCTCCAGTGGCCTCCTCGCCTTTGCATCCCTTTGCATCACTCGCTCCACTCTTTGCCACCAACCTGAGTACTGTAGGGGGGCTGTTGGAGGCCTCCACCACAACACACATACCGTTTCTGCATTCATTCTCAGGCTAGTCTAGGTAGCTGGGTCTGTCTAACCATAGAAACCATAACACTGCACATAAAACATATGAAGTAGCAACTTGGCTTTGGAAACTGGAAAAAAACAGGGGAGTAGAGGTGGCAATGCCGTTGTGGCTGAGTTATCTCTGCAGGCAGTTCTTCGCTAGGGAACTTGGGGGTTTATCAGTAGCTGCTGGAGTTTGTATTTCTTAACTGAACCTTAATTGCCTGCTGGGAATATCTCCCCTGCTGAAGTGACTTCTGTCTCGTCTTCCCTGCACATTACACACACAAACACATACTGGTTGTATAGTGCCAAACAGCAGTGTTGCTGACTGCCAGCAGCAAATGTATTTTTTGAGCAGTAGCATGTAGGACATGGATGTATATGACTAATTTTGGGGTGCGGAAATAATCCCTTTGTTATGTTGTCTGCCAACATTAAGTTAAACATATGCATACATGTGTTGAGGAAATGTATGAAAAAATGTAAATTTATTTCCTGTTTCATACTTCCAGCTAAAACAGTTGTTATTTAGCAGGAGATCAATAAAACATATTTGTTTCCATTAAATCATTTTTAAAACAAGAAACACACTTGTACCTATTGATATAGCCAAATTAGCCACATATTATGAATACCTAGAAGGAAATACTGCATACTTGGAAGTAGTATTGCAGTGAGAGTCATCTAGCTCCACCTTTTAAGTGCATCTCATGTCACAGTGACACTGCAGGATCGAAAGATTCCTAGATTTTTTTTTTATTAAATATAGGTAAGACTAAAAGAGTTTTTCAAGATCTAGCTGAATTCTTTGCACTGAGACAGAATTAGWTTTCCTTAAAATGTCCAAGAAAGACATTTACCTAAGATTGTCTAGAAAAACCACCAAATGTTTTGCTCTGCTTGGATAGCCTGTGTTCTTTCTGTGTTCTCTTTTTGGATTTAACAAACTCAGTTGCTGTAATTGTCCCTTTAGTTGCCTCTAGTTTTTCAATATCTTAAGAGGTCTAAGACTTGGGTAAAGTTTTGTAGCCACTCATTTTAATAAATGACAAGTAGAAAAGTCACTTTCTGCTAGTAGGCTACATTCCTAGCCCCAGATACAGCATTTTAATTAAATCCTAAACCCCCCCTTTTGTAATAGTCTAACTTTGTTCACTAACCAGCGATTTGTATTTAAGTATTATATGTCATGATTGCTGCTTAGTCATTTTTTTCCCCATTTTGTACTAGCCAAATGCTTTGTCTCCTCTCCCTCTTATACCTTTGCCCCAATCCTCTCCAAAGCAGAGTTTATTGTGGCAGTAAAAAAAAAAAAAAAAAGAAAGAAAAAAGAAAAAAAATAGTTAGTGCTAGAATATTCTTTGAGATAAAGAAAAAATGAGTGTAGGAATTCACAGAAGGAAGTAATTCTTGTAGCAGTTGAATGGTGAAGAAATGGAGCAGATTTTGGAGCCTTTCTCTTTGTGATGGAATCACAGAATCACAGAATATCACAGAATATTTAAGGTTGGAAGGGACCTCTASAGATCATCTAGTCCAACCTTCCTGCTCAAGTAGGCACACCTACAGCATGTGGCACAGGGYRGCATCCAGGCGGGTTTTGAAGACCTCCAGAGTAGGAGACTCCACAACCTCCCTGGGCAGCCTGTTCCACTGCTCTGTCACCCTCACAGTAAAGAAGTTGCTCCTCACCTGGAGACGGAACTTCTTGTGCTCCAGCTTGTGGCCATAAGGCTGTTTCGAGGCTGACTGTTCTGTGAATATTACTGTATATGCAGATTTCTGGAAAAATACCTCTGGACTTTGGTCGCAGCAGTATRTTCTAGCAAAGGGAAGGCTAGCAGTTTATTATTTCTTAAGCATCAGACAAACATATTATGGACTGAGAGTGATATGAAGCCGTTAATGCCGTTACAGTAAGTGGGAAAATGAATTTTAAAGCCTGGTATATCTGTTTCTGTTTTACTGCAGACATAGTTTAGAATTTAAGCTGACTTTTAGCAGTTCATTCTTTACTTAAACTGTATATTAGTGTTTCTGTCAGTATCTACTGTTTCCTTTCAAAAACTGAAAAATATTTTCATATCACGTGTCCAACAAAGTTTTCTTTAGGAATCACTTCAATCTAGATCGGCATTAATTATGAGTAGTTAATACTGAGTTCTATTGGAAAAGAAAGGTGGCAACACATCTAGCCTTTGAAGAG